AAACCGGGGGTTCCTCACCCTCAACATCTTAAGGTTGTGGGGCCTTCACCCCCCAGATTCCCCCGGCCGGCGGTGCTGGCGGGGGAATTCTGGGAGTTGAAGTCCACACATCTTAAAGTTGTTGAGGTTGAGAAACCCTGGTTTAAACCCTTTTGATATCACTGATTTACATTCCTGAAGTCTGGCTTGCATAAATAGGAACTCATCACCCTGTAAAATCTACAGCCCTGCTCCCAACACCCCTGGGATCCACCCTCCCCATCGTTGCAGCCGGACTCCAACACCCATCCTTCTGGGAAAAAAACCCAAGCACGCCTCTCTCCACCTTCTCATCCCAAGAGGCCATCCTATTCTGGAGACGGGGCGATTCCTACGACACCCACATCTTTCAGGATCCGAAAGGCCACAATCCATTCTGGGAAACTGGGATTCTTTTGTAAAGACGGATCCGTTCCCTCGGCTTGCCCGGCTCGTGCCATACCTTCCTGTTATTCTAACCTGATCTGCAGGCGACGGGCACTGTCTTGGGCCGAGATCAAAACCCAAGCGAGTTTTTCCTTCTCTTTCTAACCCATCCTTTCCACCGCAGAGGTCGGGGAGCCAAGCAACCGCTCTCCCCGCCGAGTCCTTCCGCCTGCCCGCCCTGCAAAGAATATTTTGCACGGGTTTAAAGAGAAGGGAAGGGGAGAATGACGTTTCTACCCCGGGAGGAATCGATCGCTGGGTGCCCTTGGGGATCTTCCGCTAGGAAGAAAAAGTCCCCACCCTTGGGGTTGGGGAAGGGGTAAAAAGCGTGGCCCAGCAGCTCTCCAACACCCCCCCCCCCCCACAGAAGGGGCACGGAGTGACCCTTGGCGGAGCTATATTAAGACAAGCGTGGGACCTATCCAGGGGAAATCCAGAGCTGATGAGCTTAGCAGGCCATTTGGCAGTGGTGAGACACCAGGATGCCTCGCTACCCAGAGACTAACCCCAGGGCGCCTCTGAATGCTTTCGGCCGACACTGAGGCTCCATTGTTTCTCCAAATGCCTTTTTTTCTGAAAAGAGAATAAAATCGCTTCTCTTTCCCTCTCCCTCTCCCTCCCTCTCGCGATCCCGGATGGGATACGTCCTCAGCGAGGAATTCCACCTCCCTTCTGGCCTGGCCTCCCTCTCCATTCGGAGCACAGCCGGCAGGCTGCATTGCCAACCTGGGGGCAACCCGGGCAGGTGCCTTTGGCGTTTTGCATCCAACGGAAGCGGTCCCAAGGAACAGAAACTCATGTAGAGAGACAAGGGCAGCCTCTTCGGAAAGCAGGCCGTATTTAAATTACACGATCATGCTTAACGCAGAACCAAGTTATCCGTCTGCCCAAACCAAGGCTTCATGGAGAAGCAAGCCCAGGACAGTGACTCATTCAGAGATACAACCCTCCAAGGGGGAGATCTCACTCAACAAGACCAGTTTTACTGCCCAGAGGCCCCCCAGCCCATTTGGGAGCTGTGAGCCTTCCTTTTCCATCCCAGTCTGCTGCTATGAGAACCCATTTAACACGAAGACTTAACGCCAGAATTTTGCTTTCCTTTTCCCTCCTCATCGCTTCTTCCTCTCGTGCTGTGCTTTTCTAGATTTCAAGTTTGGTTGCTATCAATGTGCCCACCTCTCCAAGCAGCTTGGGATGCAAATGTCTAAGACGGTCAGACGGGACCCTTGTCTTGTCTTCCCCAAGGCAGCGACAATGCAAAACTTCACTGCTGCACCAAGCCAAGCAAAAACAGAGTTGGGTCATTTTATTTCCTCCCCCTGCCAGTTCTCCTAGTTTAGCCCTAGCCTGAGCCAGATGTTTTCATCTCACGCCAGCGGGGCCAGCTGCGGCCCATCCCCCAGCTGTTTTGCGTCAGAGTCACAAAAGATCACTGGATGTTACAAGCCGCCAGCACAAGGCGATCTTTGTTGGGGAAACGATTCTTCCAGGAAACACACCACCAGTGGCATTCGATCTTGGATTATCACCCCGGCTCCACCCGGGTTCAGGAAACAAGGAAACTTCAGAACAAGCCACCTGCAAAGTTGGAGCCTCCGTTGAGTCATGAGAACCAACGGCAGCAAAGCTGGAGATTCTCCACGGCGCATCCGCAGAAGTGACCATTAAGGAGAGGGATAAGCTGGGGCTTTGCGCGGAGGCGAACATTTGCGGGGGGGGGGGGGGGGGCATCTCTGCAAGCAGAAAGCTAGCACTCCTGGAGCAGAGCTTGAGGAGCTGGCTTGTTAGCTGCAAGGACAGAAGCTGCTGCTTTATAAGAAGTTGGACTACTGATCCATCTCGGCGAACTTGGGCCAGCAAACATTCTCCAGCCTTACATAGGAATGACTGAAACCAAACCCGTAGCCTTCTTTAGGTTCTTCCACTGAGCGGTGGCTCTTCTTCCCAATGAAGGACCTAATTCACATGCTCTCTCTCGCCTATTTGCAAAGCTGATGCCGAAATCACCTGGCCGTGCAAAGGAATGCACGAAGGTTGCAAAATGAGACCAAAGATCTGGCTGAAAAATCCTGCCTTTACTACTCCCATCTGTTTGGGGCACCTCTTTCCAAGGCCGCTTTCATGCACTTGCATCCTGGAGACCTCAAAGGATGTACGTCAGCGTTTCTCAACCGTGGCAGCTTGAAGATGTGTGGACTTC